ATGTACTGCAGCTGTTTTACAGCCTGTTGACAGACCTGTGAGCAGGCCATTGCAGTAGTTTAACCTACTGGAGACAAATGCATGGATAAGAATCTCCAAGTCTGCTTTAGACACTATGTTTTTGATCCTGGCAATGTTTTTTAGATGGTAAAAAGCTGCTGATGTTACTGATTTGATGTGGCTATTAAAATTTAAGTCTGAGTCCAGTATTACCCCTAGATTTCTGACCTTGTTTGAAGGTTTTAGGGAGAGAGACTGGAGGTGACAGATGACACTCTCCCTTTGTTTCTGGGGACCACTCTGGGGATAAACACTAGTGAAAACCAAATCCTCCACCCACTCCAATTTAATCTGATCAGTGTTGGGAGAAACGCATTACAAAAGTAATGTAATTGTATTCCTTTTTGATGTGGTACTGTAAGGCATTCCCAAAAAAAACTCAGTACAAAGGTTAGCAACATGCAATAAATTGCATTTTAAACAAAATTGAATTGCGGATTTGTTTTTATACTATGCCTCTGTGAGATCAGCAGAGGAAAAATAATCCGTACCAATAGTAGCCGCCTACAAGTTTTTTTCCTTTCAGGTAGGAGGTGGCTGAAGCTGAAAAAGTGTAACGCCCACATAGGTCCTTACCTTAATGTTCACTCAGGAGGAGTGAAAGTCTCTATTTTACAACCAATTTTGTGTACCAGGTCTGTTTTGTTACTGCACATAAGTTTTCAGATATTATTATTTTTGTTATTATTATTCCTTGACTGTGTCCTTGGAGAGACTATTTAAGAACGTAGGGCACGGGCGCGGTGGCGCGCATGGTCTGAAGTCAGACGCCGACTATAGGAGCAGGGTCAGCACCTTTACCTGGAAGACCCGTTTCTGCAGATTATAATCTCTGGTGGAGTATCTCGTTTTTGGATTACCGTGTCTTTTGGATTTCCGTATCTGTGGGATCTAACGAGACTCTGTGGAATATCCCTCCATGGTCGTTGCTGGGCTCCAGGACCTGTTTTGGTGGACCGTGGTGCATGCGCGGGGCCGTGAGTAACACCGTGGCTTCACCACTGACACTGACTCTTTTTCTTTTGTTTTCACATATTGAGAAAGCCACTGTTGTTTGTTTGTGAAGGGTTTGTGATTTTGAGCGTGGGGGGGTGTTGACCTTTCATAGTTGAACTGGAGCAGTAATAAATAGCCAGTTTTGGGGCCAAATGCATGTTCTGCATCTGTGCTTATTTCACCCCGCTTATGTGACCTCCTCTCGCGACCTTTTCAAAGCGTTGTAGCTCTAGTGCCTTTGAAAGATAGGCAAATTGTTACGAAAGAAGCAGGTACTATGTCAGGCAAAAGTACAATTTCAAGATGGGCATAATCCCTATTTTGAGTTTGTTGGAGACAAAGATGTGCTTAGCATAAAAGTTAAGTGCACTTTATGTGCGAAACCAAAAGCTCCATCAACCTCAGGCAAAATCATAAAATTCACTACATATATAGTTATTTATAATGCGGTAGTGTAATGCTTTACAATTCAGAGACAGTAATATTGTAGTGTAATGCATTACTTTGAAATAACTGACAATTAACACACACAGTGCCTTGCAAAAGTATTCACCCCTTGGCTTTTTACCTATTTTGTTACATTACAGCCTTTAGTTCAATGCTTTTTTAATCTGAAATGCATGTGATGGATCAGAAAACAATAGTCTAAGTTGGTGAAGTGAATTGAGAAACAATTCATGTGATGGATCAGAAAACAATAGTCTAAGTTGGTGAAGTGAATTGAGAAACATAAAACTGTTTTTCAGAAATAAAAAACTGGAAATTGGCATGTGCATATATGTATTCACCCCTTTGTTATGAAGCCCATAAAAAGCTCTGGTGCAACCAATTACCTTCAGAAGATAAATAAATAGTGAAATGATGTCCACCTGTGTGCAATCTAAGTGTCACATGATCTGTCAGTACATATGCACACCTTTTTGGAAAGGCCTCAGAGGCTACAACACCTAAGCAAGAGGCACCACTAACCAAACACTGCCATGAAGACCAAGGAACTCTCCAAACAAGTAAGGGACAGTGTTGTTGAGAAGTACAAGTCAGGGTTAGGTTTAGGGATGTAAAAAACTAGGAATTTTCATGACCGACCACCAAGCCTCATTAACCGATTGAAACCGGTTAACCGCGTAGTTTAATATATCTTTGAAATAACAGCCCTGCGAGCCGCGTACTTTAAATAAGTGAAGCTATGCGTTCTACTGGATCAGAGCCGAGACGTATTTTCATACATGTCTGTTGGAAAGCGACTCCTCCTCGGCCGTTTCACCGATTGGCCTCCATATCACTCCACATTGTCTAAACACATGTACCATCAAAATGGTACATGTGTTTACACACGTTTCACTGATTTTTGATCACTTTCCAACCGACATGTATGAAAATTAATGCTGTTCATTTTTCCATTTTGCAGTGAAATTTATGGGCTTCCTGTTTGTCAGAGGGCGGGGCCATAATACATTTTTTTTCATGTCTTGACTTGAGGAACATGTGTACCGAATTTCATGGCTCTACGAAAAACTTGACCTCCGAAAAATCCCATGGGGGTATTATTACGACCAAAATGTTATCATGGCTCCGCCCTCTGACAAACAGGAAGCCCACAAATTTCACTGCAAAATGGAAAAATGATCCGCAATAATTTTCATACATGTCGGTTGGAAATCTTCTCCTCCTCAGGCCGTTTCACCGATTTGCCTCAAAATCGCTCGACATCATCTCAACACATGTACCTTGAAAATGACTTCGCCGATTTTTCATCAGTGAAACGTTGTTTGAACAGGGGAGCTGCTGGGATATTAAATTTGCTCCCGTTTGCAAAAACAAAGTCTGATTTGCACAAAACTTGAATCCAATGTTCAACTCCAGGGTTTAGGTGAAAGTGAAATATTTGAAATTGGCCCATAAGCGTCCCCTACAGATTGAGGCAAAATTGAGCCAAACAGCTCTTATCATATTCATAACAATTTGACTTACGTTCTTCTATGGCTACAGCAACAAATCATCACACGGCGGCCCCACCTCCTTTGCACGGTGATGCGTGGTACGGAGTGGTGCGGCGCGTTGCAGCTTGGTGCGGGGCGGCGTGGTGCAGATCCAGGCGTGGTGCAGATCCAGGCGTGGTGCGGGGCAGCTTAATGCGGGACGGCTTGGTGCGGGGCGGTTTGGTGCAGGTCGGGGTGGTGCACGTGGTGCAGCGAGGGCCGTTCGACGCCGCTTGCGGCTTTAATTTTGATTGCTTTTTTCTACCGGAGATGTTGCTGCAGTACAGTGTACATGGTTTTACACTGGTCCAGACCGGAGCAGAGAGGATTCATGGTCCAAACCAAGCGGATCAGGCAAAAATCCACTCGAGGAAGGCAAACTTTTTGAAAAAAAGCCTTTTACTTTGGAATAGAACAGAAAAATGGTCCGAACCAAGCGGCTACTGCTGCTGTGACCTGTTCCAACCAAAGGGCTACTCCACCTAGTGACCTGTCCTGCTCCACCCAGCGGATGTTCCACCTCTGCTGCTGAGACCTGTCCTGCTCCACCAAGAGGCTACATAGCCTCTGCTGCCGTGCTCCACCCGGCAACTAGATCACCTCTGCTGCTGTGACCTGAATGGCTGTGGCTTATTTTTTACTATAGTTAGCTTTTTAGAACGATACATTTATTTTTTGATTTTTTCTGCTACTTGACACCTGAATTTCTCCTACGGGATCTATAAAGTATCTATCTATCTATCTCACTCCGAAGGATCGCAGGCTCCTCAGGATGTAGAGGCGACTTTGGCCCTTGTACAGGGAGTTGGTGTTATAGGACCAGTCCAGTTGATTGTTAATGTGAACACCCAGGTACTTGAAGCTGTCCACCAGCTCAATGATCTCCCCCTGGATTTTCAGCGGCGTGTGCAAGATAATGGTTTCCTCCTGAAGACAATTAGCATCTCCTTGGTCTTACTGGTGTTCAAGCACAAGTGGTTGCCCTCACACCAGTTGACAGTCCATGATAACCAACCGGTACTCCAGTTCGTTCCCCTCAGATGGCGGAGTCATCCGAGAACTTCTGCAGGTGGCATCTGTGTGTGTCGTATGACTCTGACGTGTAGATGGTGCAGAGAAACTGAGGGGCCCAGTACTGCAGACTACCACCTCAGACTCACAGCTGCGCAGCCGCACGTACTGTGGTCCGTCTAAGAGGTAGTTGATGGTCCATGCAGTGAGGTTACTGTCCACTCCTGCGGCCTCCATCTTAACCCGCAGCAGTGCCGGTCTGATAGCGTTGAAAGCACTGGAGAAGTCAAAAAACATTGACCTCACATCGCTCCCGGCGGGCTCCAGGTGGGAGAGCCTCCGCTGCAGCATGACAGCATCCTCAGGCCCATGTTGGGCCTGCAGGCAAACTGCAGCGGGTCAAGGATGGGACTGACCACAGAACGGAGATGGGTGAGGATGAGCCGCTCCATGGTCTTCATCAGGTGGGAGGTCAGTGCGACTGGTCTGTCGTGAGCCGGTTTCTTGTCAAATGCTGTTTTAGGAACCAGGATCACACAGGAGGTCTCCCACAGGACAGGGACCTTCTGCAGGCTGAGGCTCAGGTTGTAGATGTAGCAGCGGACCTCAAAGAGCTGTTCTGCACTGGTTCTCAGTAGCCAAGAAGAGCCAAGAAGACTGCTGGCTTGGCCCCTGCTGGTTTTGCTCCTGGGACTCAGCCACCCCCCTTTCTGGATTATCTCGCTCTCTCTACCTGATCAAGGAAATAATGAACTTCTATCTGGATTAAGAACATGGACTAAACAAAATAACGCAATGCCAATATTCACCAATATGAATTCTATTTGTGATGTGTGTGTAGCATAAATATCTCCAGACTATGGAGGTCATGTGTGCTCTATGTTGTATGTAGCCACAGGCTCCCTCGGGCAGACTGCAGTATGTAGCCACAGCTACCCTTAGGCAGACTCGTACCTGGATGTTCTTGATTCCTGCTCGGCAGTAAAACTTCTTGATGTCGATGTCTATCTCTGTGTTTCCCACAAAACTGAAACAGACACATTTTGGTATGAGCTCCGTATGGCACAGTTGATGAGTAAGTAAGTAAGTAATGTTTATTTATATAGCGCATTTTACAGACAAAAGTCACCCAAAGCACTTCACAATGTTCAGAGGCCAGATATTGTTCCAATCATTCCAGAATTCCAGACAGAAGCGAGTCGCCGAACACACTGGCACATCAGCCCCCAATCAACACCATCCATTCACTCTCTCATTTGCATTCATACCTATTAGTATTTAGGTATTTAAGAAATATTTATTTATATAGCGCATTTCACAGACCTGGGTGATAAAAATCACTTTGCAATTTGTTTGTACCAATAATTACGCTAAAGTTTTTGCTGCTTCCGTTTTATAGAATTGATGCATTGCTTAAAAAAAGCACATACCCATCAGTTTACAGTGCTCTGTCACATTTGAAAGTGTGTAAAAACTGTTCTTAAATCCAGTGTTCCTGGTCTTAATGGGCATTATATACTGTATGGCCCTTGTTTTTGCATCACTTTATATAAAGTAATTTGTATTAGGCCTACATGTGACAATGTGTGTTTATTGATGAGAGACGTACATCAATGGATATAAAATAATAATGGGAACATGTATTTCATATATAGTGAAGAAAGTAAGTGTTTGAACACCCTGCTATTTTGCAAGTTCTCCCACTTAGAAATCATGGAGGGGTCTGAAATTTCCATGGTAGGTGCATGTACACTGTATGAGAGATAACCTAAAAAGAAAAATCCAGAAATCACAATCTGTAATTTTTTTTAACAATTTATTTGTGTGATACAGCTGAAAATAAGTATTTGAACACCTGTCTATCGGCTAGAATTCTGACCCTCAAAGACCCGTTAGTCCGCCTTAAAAAGTACTGCCGTGTATGAGGCAAAACAAATCTTAAACCGCCTCCTCTGTTAAGAGAAGGTTTGTGTTTCCTCACTAAAAAATGGCTTCTTTCACCCCTCTCTCAAACTAAAAGACGTTTCTGTAGAGTTTATTTAGTACAAAAACGACTTTACCAGCATTGTAGCGAAAACACTAGTGGGCCACAATCGGCTGTACATTGCCACCTCAAGGCTACCAACCACACCGTTAAAATTCTGGCTCGAGACAAAAATTGGTTTGAGAGAGGGGTGAAAGTCCATGAATCCATGGTTCATTCGACCATGGACACACGCAAGGACTGCGCGGTAGAGACGCACTGCAGAGGCACAGGAGCGGAAAAGCCTTTTTTCTAGGGCCGCACATGCAGCGACCAATCAGAGCTGCAAAGTGGTCACAGGGACATTAGCGGTCTAGCGAGCAGACTGAAAATACTCATAAACAGCCAAAACAGGACTCAACCGGGACTAAACCAAGACTAAACCAGGATTGACACAGTGCTTGTGAACATATGCCCCCGAGTTTGGAAGAGGGGTGAAAGAAGCCATTTTTGTGAGGAAACACAAACCTTCTCGTAACAGAGGAGGCGGTTTAAGATTTGTTTTGCCTTGTATCAATGACGACGTCCTAAAAACAATGCCCTAACTATAGATAAGGTCAGTGACGTGCTAATGATTTAGGAGTGGGGAGACCTGCACTCCACTTGAGCAATCTCAGCAGACAATAGGTCTGTGACATGCTAATGAGTTAAGACCGTTAGCCCTAGTAGGGTCGTTAGACGTGCTTCCTTCCACATCAAACAGACCTTACATTGTTAATGAGTTAGGGATTAGGGTGTGGTTAACCACATCCCATCGGTTATAAATGAGATTTCATTCCCTTGAGTTTTTTGGATTAAGGACGAAATGTCGGTAAAACCTGCTAAGAAGTACAGATGATGGGTGAGAAACTTTCCTTTGCATTGACTAATCCCTGTATGACAGAGCTTACACAAACCTAGAATATAAGAAATATTTTCAGTTGATTCATACTTTTTTTAGCACGTACATGATTCCACATGAGTCAATTCATAGTTTTGATGCCTTCAGTGTGAATCTACAATGTTCATAATCCTGAAAATAAAAAAAACTCTTTGATTGAGAAGATGTGTCCAAACTCTTGGTCTGTACTGTATATATATATATATTTATATTACATATACAGTAGTATGAAAACGTTTTAATGCCATTTTTAGGATTTAAAAAAAAAAAAAATCCTTGGTTGTTTGGATCAGAAAATTCAGTTAAATATATCAAACACTGATATTTGAGGAGCGTAAATCAAGTTTGTATCATTTACGGGAAGTGTGCAAGAATTAGGTAAACCAAATCAGGCATGAATAAAATATCAATGTGTTGGCCTCAGAAAACCCCTATCGGTGCATCTGTAGTTCAGAACCCTGTGTGTATGATGAAGGGAACAGGGTGACGTCATCAGAATCTTATATGGGCATTTGTTCTGTTAGCTTTGTGCCATATCAGGGGCAGACTTGTTGCTAAGATGGTTGCTAAGGCAAGCGGAAGTTTCCCCTGTGTAAAGGCATCTGGTCAATCCGTATATGGCTCACATCTGGATTTACAAAGACAATATCACTACATGTACACACCAGAATCATAGAGAATGCCAAACCACGGATTTATAAGCCCAAAATGGCGAGTGTGAAACAAATTGTTAATGAGCAACTTTACTTTTATATACAAGTCAATAGAGCCAGAGAGAGTTGGAGCTAGACTTTGTCCACGAGCACTTCTCTATCTGGCTTCAATGAGCTCAAATGTTAGCATGGTTAGCATATACTGTGTGCAGTTGACTCACCTGACCTCCAGGTCCATGATCACCTGCCTCTTGTCCACGTTCTCGGTGTAGACCTTCACACCATTCACCCTCAAAGGCTGCACACAACATAACATGTGAGCATGTAGACAACACAACAGGTGAGCACGCACAAAAAACAACATGGTGAGCATGCACACAAAACAAAAAGGCACGAAAGTACACAACACAACAGGTGAGAAAGAACACAACACAACAGGTGAGAAAGCACCCAACACAATAGATGAGCATGCACACTGATTAGTAATTTTGTGTATAATAGATGTGATATTTAGCGCAAGGTTCCTCAGCTGTGAAAAGGGGATGCTGACCCCCTCTCTGTATGTATATTCATTGACCTAGCAACCAAGAGCGGTGCTGGTCTGTTCTCATTCCCATACATCCATGATTGGTCAGTTGGCAAGGCTCATATCTTGATTGACAAAGACAATATAAAATTATAAATAGGACCATACAGAAGTTAAACCGCCAATGTTTAAGCCCAAAATGGTGAATGTGACACAAACGGTTACAGAGTTGGGAGTTTACTTTTCAATGTAAATAAAAGGAGGCAAAGCAAAACGTCATTATAAGAAACAGTATCTGCACCTTGTCTCCGAGATCGATCTTGGTGAAGCAGAAGGAGCTCAGGTATGGTGAGGCGGTTTTCACTGAAGGTTCGATTGTTTCTCTGAAGAGTTTATCCACAAACTGACAGATGAAGGGCCACATCTGCTTAACCGTCTAGAAACAGGACCATACAGACATGAGTATCACTCTGACAAACCCTGTTTTGCAAAAGAATACACTCTGTTAGAATTTATCAGCAATATAAGCAAAAATGTCTTCTAGGCTGTTGCTTAAAAGAAGGTTATAAAACTACACACAAGCAAGACCAGGAACACTACTTTATGACAGCATATATGCTATAATGACAATACTTAATGACAGCATATACCAGAGGAATGAAATATGCACCTTATTTAACCACTCGACCCGCTCCACGTCTGGATAATGGACCTGGGAACACAAAAAGTCAGATTCAGATTCAGTTTATTTGCCATTTGCAGTAAAAAAAACCCACATTGGAATACATTAGCAAAAGTCTCCAGTGTGCACAGACAAATACAGACATAAAACAACATTAAAAGACAAAAATAAAACAAATAAAACAGTAAACAAATGTCACTGTGAAATCGATCGACTAAAACAGTTCAAAACAAGTGCAAATCATTAAAGTGCTCTGTTCACACTGATAACAGCTTGTGGATAAAAACTGTTAGCGTAACGAGATGTCCTGCATCTCAGAGAGCGATATCTTCTGCCAGAGGGAAGAAGCTGGAACATGGCTTTCCCAGGGTGGCCAGAAGAGTCATTGACAATCCTAAGAGCTTTGTTTAAAAGTCTGGATTTATAAAGAACCTCCAGAACAGGAAGCTCACAGCCCACGGTCCTCTTTGCAGAGCGGAGCACCTTGTTTAAAGATCTCTTTTCTTTATCTGTGATGTTTCCAAACCACACAGACACAGAACCAACAAGTAAACTCTCAATGGTGCAGCGATAAAAGTTAAGCAGAATCTTAGAGTTAGTGGTAAATTCTCTAAGTTTACGCAGAAAGTAGAGACGCTGACGAGCTTTCTTAACGACTCGGTCAGTGTTTTTAACCCATTTCAGGTCGTTAGAGTTAAACCCAGAAACTTGCACTCCTCTACGATCTGCACCTGGGAGTTGTCGATTACGACAGGCAAATGAGAACTATTGCGACTGAAGTCGTAGACCAGTTCACATGTTTTCGATGCGTTCAACTGGAGGTTGTTAGTTTGACTCCACTGAACCACATTTTGTATCTCTGCTCTATAAGAGGATTCATCATTGTCACTGATGAGACAGATGATGGTGGTGTCATCAGCATATTTAATGATCAAGTTTGAGTCAGAGGAGGACACACAATCGTGAGTGTACAAAGTAAAAAGCAAAGGACTCAAAATACATCCCTGAGGAGAACCAGTGCTCACAGAAACAACATCAGAAAAACAGTCATTGATTTTGAAGTTTTACACGCATAGTCTTTTCAACATGTTTCCTCGAGAGACAGTAACCAGCTCATTGTGCGTCTGTGAGCAGTGGATTGTCATCTTGAATATCCACCGATTTAGTGCAAAAAATAGACAGACAAAATGTAAACAAGCACGATAGTATGGAGGACATGTACTTCCGGATCAGACTGGTGCCCGTTGTGACGTCACTGAGGGACAAGCGCCGGTATGATTTTTTTTTGTTTCTAAGGATGTTGCTATGGTCTTTTCTCGATTAAGGGGATAATTAAAAAAAAAAAATTAACAATTGATTTTGAAACCTTTAGTAGTTTTCTAATATAAAATGGTATTAAAACTGTATTTCTAAATCAATACAAACCCCGCATAAGGTCTTTAAAGTAACTCATTTATTTGGCACTTTTCACAGACCAGAGTCTCACAAAATTATACTATTTATGCATTAATTTACTCCACACACAGATGATTACACCTCATTAAACACATGTATGACTGTTGTATATGTTTCTTATAGTAAACCAGAGCAGCTGGGAGACCCCATCCATAAACTGTAAGTAACTGGTTAGAGAACTTCTGACCCCCGCTCCTCGGAGCTTACGTACTGCTGTCACCTTACATTGTGTGCACCATGTGCACTTGTATATTGTAAATAGTAACTGTAACTATATTTTTATTTCAAATTTATTCCTTAGAAGTGTTTATGTTTTTTTTTTCTCTTTTTTTATTATTATTATTATCTCTTTCTGACTGTTGCACTGAGCCAAAGCAATTTCCAAGTCTGTGACTTCCTGTTACTTAAGTGGTAATAAAATGATTCTGATTCTGATTACGTCACTCACATATTCTTTTCAAATCTCCCTCCAAATGGGCGTAGCCTGGAGGACTAAAGGGGACAGGCGAGGGGGTGAATGTTGGGCGGGTCTAGATTGTGAGTGACACTTGACATCAGCATTGGCCGTGTCAAAGACGGAGAGTGATCAGACACCAGCTCTATAGATTCTGTGCAGTCTTGGGAGGTGGAGGACTTCTCTTGAGAGGAGGCAGACGGCGGCCCCCAGCCCTATCAATTTGAGCCACTAGCTCCCGAGCTAGCGCCGCTAGCGGCTAGTAGAGCTAGCGGCTAATGAGCTAGCGCCGCAAGCGGCTAGTAGAGCTAGCGGCCACCGGCAGCTGCCTCTGCAGCAGAGGCTGCAGCAGAGCTGGATTACTAATGCAACAACACATCATCAGTATAGGGTAAAACTAACCTGTCTCAAAGGCAGCTGAGGCAGAATGGGGCCTGTTTCTGAATGAAATCGATAAGAGTGGAATAAAAAGTACGAACTGCTTGTCACCATGGATCTATTATAATAACACTTGTCACAGGTAGCCTTCCCATATTCCCTTACAGTAACCGATTATGTTGCGGTTCTTTTCTTCTGTTTTGTCTGTACATTTTATGTATGAACCCAGACCAAGATAAATTATATGTTGTGGTGGTCATATAGTCATAAAATTCTAAACTCTGCCACAATAACTTGCGGCCATTGCACCTCCTTGTCCCCAAGGAAAATGATACCCCAATGTGCACAAAAGAGACAGTAATTTAACACACGCTCAAACATAAAGTAGTATTTATTGTACACAAGTACAATAAACAATGAAGTTGCACACGATATAGAACACTAGTAATACTAACACAAGTCTAAAGCTAAATTCAGCTAACTAATCTAACAATAAAAGCACCTAACTAATGACTAAAACTCCAATATTCAACAACAACGCTATTAACACTACACAATTATCAATAATACAAACAGCTATGCTAATAATAATCTCCCTAAATGCTATAACTAATCGCAAACCTGACAATCGATAAAAATACTCTCTGCTATTCCATCTCCAAATTGCTACGGGGGCGTGACCGAGACTGGGCCGTTTATATACCTCAGAGCGGGGGCTGCTGACGTAACGAGCCACTGCACACGAAAGCGGCCATTGCTGCAGCCAATGGTGGCGCCAGATTCAAAATTCAAATGTAGTAATACAGGTCGCCTGCAGATGGCGCCTCACAGACGGTTTTAGGCAGAAAGTTGATCTTTCAACTAATTTTCACCAAAATGACAAAATTATGACCAGGATATGTAGACAACACTATTGGACACTCATTTATACCGTTTATCAGCAAATAAAAAGTGGATTTGAGGGTGAGTTGTCCTTCAAAAGTTGTTTTTCTATTAACAGCTCACACAGCTTAGTCCAGCTGGGGTTAGTCTGCGGCTTTTGATATGAGTTCTTAATTTAAGAGTTCTGAAGTTAAGTGTGCCGAAAAACTTCCTTGTACACTCACTCAGTTATAGTCATTTAAGTCATTTTGATGGATTCAAATCTCTAGACCTGAGGTATTTTTTACATAATTTGAACACGCCCTAAGAATAAATAGCTAAAGTTAAACATAATACATTTTGTTGGGCAATCTATTCGTAATAAATAGATTGCCCATTGCGACAACTAAGAAGCAATGCTCAATTACAATACGCAGAACAAATCCAGTGCACCATTTTAAAATGATTTTATCACTTAGAATTTTTAAGCTGAAACAGAATAGAGAAGAAATAACTGTAGTTTTAACATTTTCAACACAATTCAATGAGATATGAAAAATGTCATTGAAGATTAAATTGATATACAGTGGGGCAAAAAGTATTTAGTCAGCCAGCAATTGTGCAAGTTCTCCCACTTAAAATAATGACAGAGGTCTGTAATTTTCATTATAGGTACACTTCAACTGTGAGAGATAGAATGTGAGAAAAAAAATCAAACATTCACATTGTAGGATTTGTAAAGAATTTATTTGTAAATTATGGTGGAAAATAGGAATTTGGTTAATAACAAAAATTCAACTCAATACTTTGACCTCTGTTATTGCCAACAAAGGTTATATTACAAACGATTACTATAGGTCTTTATATATATGGATATATATAAAGACATGGATATATGAAGGTTTTCATTACCAGACTGTTTCAAATGTGTCAACGCTTCTGAACTAGCTCAGACTAGCTTGTAACACTGACATCTAGTGGACAAATATAATCATTGCAGCATCAGAAGAGCAGAACTTGATTCATGCTCCAAATGTAGTTTCAAATTCTTACCGTTCTTACTGTAAGAACAGTATGACAGAGAGCATTTTACTGCAGCAGGACATGGGTATATTGAATAAAAGTTTGTTTACATCTCTCAAAAATTACAGAAACAAGAGGAACTGCACTTTATGCAGATCATACGTTTTTATTCAAGTTTTTCAACAGTTGCCTTAAACAAATTGACTGCTTCTGACTTTAAACTAAACATGATTGTGCAAATGTAGGAATGAGGCAGAAGGGAAGAAGATGAGAGGAGACGAAACTATGTGCTGAAAATGGAATCTCATTGGAATCAATGAAACCTTCCTCTTGGGGATAAGTACAACCCTCATCTTGGGGATAAGTACAACCAAACATCAACACATTGAATAATGTAATTGTTAGTGTAAAGTGTACAAAAGATCATTTAACACATGAACATATTGTAATTCTCATTTCCTTTTCTCAATCCACTCAAGTCAGCGAGTCATTTAAAATTGAAGATAAATAAACAAAGTTCATTTGTAAGTAAATACTGTACAACCTGAATGTAAAACGAAAACAAATATGATGTTTCCTTTATGTATTTTAGAATTGCTTCTTGTTGGCAGTATTGCACATAATGAAAATGGAATATGATTCATCTTCTTGGTGAGTATTCAGTGTTAATGTGCATATTATATCACTCTGATCCAATGATTATTATTCGTTTGTTACTCTCAATATAATGAAGTGTCCACACATCTGGGTCTGGTCAGTCAGGTCCAGGCCTCGACCACAGCATGAGGTAATCAGGACAGCAGTATATTGGAGTTTATTGGTTACAATTACTACATAAGTATTACCCTTTTTTAGGAAG